AGCCTGGCCCAGGGGCAGGTCTGGCCCCTGCCCTGAGCAGCTGGCTTTGATCCTGCCTCATCTTCCCTTGCCGGGACGGGGGAGGGAAAGGCAATTCTGGGTGTGTGTAACTGACAGGGGAATAGGAGGGTGTGTGTGTGTGTGTGTGTGTGTGTGTGTGTGTAACTGACAGGGGAATAGGAGGGTGTGTGTGTGTGTGTGTGTGTGTGTGTGTGTGTAACTGACAGGGGAATAGGAGGGTGTGTGTGTGTGTGTGTGTGTGTGTGTGTGTGTAACTGACAGGGGAATAGGAGGGTGTGTGTGTGTGTGTGTGTGTGTGTGTGTGTGTAACTGACAGGGGAATAGGAGGGTGTGTGTGTGTGTGTGTGTGTGTGTGTGTGTGTAACTGACAGGGGAATAGGAGGGTGTGTGTGTGTGTGTGTGTGTGTGTGTGTGTGTAACTGACAGGGGAATAGGAGGGTGTGTGTGTGTGTGTGTGTGTGTGTGTAACTGACCAGAGAATGGGACGGGGTGTGTGTGTGTGTGTGTGTGTGTGTGTGTCTGTGCAACTAACAGGGGAATAGGAGGGTGTGTGTGTGTGTGTGTGCGCAACTGACTGGGGAATGGGACGGGGTGTGTGTGTGTGTGTGTGTGTGTGTGTGTGTCTGTGCAACTAACAGGGGAATAGGAGGGTGTGTGTGTGTGTGTGTGCGCAACTGACTGGGGAATGGGACGGGGTGTGTGTGTGTGTCTGTGTAACTGACAGGGTGTGTGTGTGTGTGTGTGTGTGTGTGTGTGTGTGTGTGTGTATGTAACCAACCAGGGAATGGGACGGGGTGTGTGTGCATGTGTGTCTGTGTAACTGACAGGGTGTGTGTGTGTGTGTGTAACTGACCAGGGAATGGGAGGGCCTGTGTGTGTGTGTGTGTGTATGTAACCAACCAGGGAATGGGACGGGGTGTGTGTGCATGTGTGTCTGTGTAACTGACAGGGTGTGTGTGTGTGTGTGTGCGTGTGTGTGTGTGTGTGTGTGAGCGGGGAGGAGGAGGGTGTGTGTGTGTGTGTAACTGACCAGGGAATGGGAGGGCCTGTGTGTGTGTGTGTGTGTATGTAACCAACCAGGGAATGGGACGGGGTGTGTGTGCATGTGTGTCTGTGTAACTGACAGGGTGTGTGTGTGTGTGTGTGCGTGTGTGTGTGTGTGTGTGTGAGCGGGGAGGAGGAGGGTGTGTGTGTGTGTGTAACTGACCAGGGAATGGGAGGGCCTGTGTGTGTGTGTGTGTGTATGTAACCAACCAGGGAATGGGACGGGGTGTGTGTGCATGTGTGTCTGTGTAACTGACAGGGTGTGTGTGTGTGTGTGTGCGTGTGTGTGTGTGTGTGTGTGAGCGGGGAGGAGGAGGGTGTGTGTGTGTGTGTAACTGACCAGGGAATGGGAGGGCCTGTGTGTGTGTGTGTGTGTATGTAACCAACCAGGGAATGGGACGGGGTGTGTGTGCATGTGTGTCTGTGTAACTGACAGGGTGTGTGTGTGTGTGTGTGCGTGTGTGTGTGTGTGTGTGTGAGCGGGGAGGAGGAGGGTGTGTGTGTGTGTGTAACTGACCAGGGAATGGGAGGGCCTGTGTGTGTGTGTGTGTGTATGTAACCAACCAGGGAATGGGACGGGGTGTGTGTGCATGTGTGTCTGTGTAACTGACAGGGTGTGTGTGTGTGTGTGTGCGTGTGTGTGTGTGTGTGTGTGAGCGGGGAGGAGGAGGGTGTGTGTGTGTGTGTAACTGACCAGGGAATGGGAGGGCCTGTGTGTGTGTGTGTGTGTATGTAACCAACCAGGGAATGGGACGGGGTGTGTGTGCATGTGTGTCTGTGTAACTGACAGGGTGTGTGTGTGTGTGTGTGCGTGTGTGTGTGTGTGTGTGTGAGCGGGGAGGAGGAGGGTGTGTGTGTGTGTGTAACTGACCAGGGAATGGGAGGGCCTGTGTGTGTGTGTGTGTGTATGTAACCAACCAGGGAATGGGACGGGGTGTGTGTGCATGTGTGTCTGTGTAACTGACAGGGTGTGTGTGTGTGTGTGTGCGTGTGTGTGTGTGTGTGTGTGAGCGGGGAGGAGGAGGGTGTGTGTGTGTGTGTAACTGACCAGGGAATGGGAGGGCCTGTGTGTGTGTGTGTGTGTAAAAAAAACTGACCAGGGAATGTGTGTGTGTGTGTGTGTGTGTGCGTGTATGTTTAAGAGCATGAACAGCTTGATTGAACTTATTAGGAGTGCTTGGATGCTTGCAGATAAGGATGCA